TTGGCTATTAAGGAGTTCTCACTTTTTATTGCTTTATAAGGAAAAAAAAACAGCTCAGTTTATCTTTTGCTTATTTTCTGGAGCCTGCAGGAAGCCTCTGCCATCCTAAAGAAAGTCACACATAATAGAGCAGCTTTAGCGCAGTAAGCCAGTCTTTCCCAATTCATCAGTCAAAGTGTTATGCAAGTGGCCCCCTAAATTGATAAATTCCCACAGTGCCTGTTGACCCAGCTGCCAAGTGCTCATGCAGCAGGTGTTGTTTTCATGACCACCCTGACAGTAATACAAACTGTTTAGCAGTTGCATTGACCTCTTAGCTATTAACATTGATACAGGCTTCACTAGGGACTAGTTTTCAAACATGACAGAATTTCTTAAGACTAGAGGTCATGAACAAGTATACCATATAAGAATAAATTTGATATGCTGCTGAGTTTAAATCTTAAAAGCCATGAGTTTTTTCCACATTATTCCCATGTAGTAAATCTGGAGACAAGTAACGAGCTTTTGGCATCTCTCCCAGGACTAAAGGTATACTTTTAATTTTAGAAGCTGTACCTGAAGAGATGCTATATTTATTCCATGACAAGTAGTAAATTTAGTCTATGACAAGGAGTGAAACAAAATTATTTTTTCTTGACATTTTCCCTTATAAAGGAAAAAAACCCAACAACTAATGCACAAATTTTGGTGATATACTTTAGGATCATTCTAATGCCTAATATCTTCTGTGCAGGTAATTGAAGCATAACGTTCCATATATTTTGTATCACAGTCAGGATTTCTACAGCAGTGTGTCTTGTTTGAATCTGAACATCCAGGAATTTTGTCTAGGTTTTTGGGTTTTTTTCTCACTTTAGTGGAGAAGGAGAGATTTTGATATTGTGTCAAAAGCATGGTGAAGGAATTGCTTTCTGTTCAGTACCATTGTTTTACTGCTGAATTTGGCCCTCCATTTGCATCTGAGTTACAAATAGCACATAGAGCAACTAAATCACTCTGTGCATTTTTGTGGAGAGAAGCACTAAAGAAAGCATGAAATCCTGAGCAACGCTAGGATGACTTTTAATCTATTAAAGCATAAGCCTCTAAACTAACAGTAGAGGCTACTTTCTTATATTAGCTACAGTAAGGCAGCAAAAATTTCTTTACTCATTGTAGAGTCAAGAATTCCCAGCTCGCTGCACACGTCAGCGAAGGGATCCAGCGAGGCCCCAGCCCCCAGTACAACTTTTCCTCCATGTTCCATACATTTAGAGTTGTTATACAGTTTCATGAAAGCCTGTTTTAACAAGCAAGATATACTGTACTGTACTGTATATATGAACAGCTCTTTAAGATAACTAGAATTGTACAGACCATATAAATAGTCATTATCAGCTACATTTTTGGCTGACTTTCTGTGGACCAAATAGTGCTTACTGTAAGAGTAATCAAGCTGTACCCTTTAGAGTTTTATAGATTGAGGAATACAAGGAAAAAAATTCTCTCCAGCCTAGAATGTGGCTCCATCTATTCCCCTCCATTTTCCACGTCAAGAGACACAGCGTAGCACTAGTTATATAAACAAAATCATAGGCTTGTCTAAGTACAGGAAAGATCAAGTCCCAACAGTCCCTTTCGAGACTTATGTTACCTTCGTGAAATTCAGTTCAACCTGTGCTGAGACTGAAAATTTCCACCCCTTTCAGGCCTTAAAAATGCAAAGTGTAAGTACTGAGGGGCAGAGACTTTCTCTCCACACACGTTGGTCCCATAGCAGCATTCGAATCCTGAGAAAGAAGTGTGGCTTTTCCCATAGTACAGCTAAGGAAACCCTGCAATTCTCACACACAAGAAGGATTCTGCTGCAGCTGCATTTGTATTTCTCTTCTTCTAAGGCACTCTGCCAACCACAATTTTTTCCATCTTTGTTTCTACTCCACCCCACCATTAATAAATATTATCCAAGACTGATGAGTACAAGTTATTGATTGATGGTAGAATAAAAGGCAAGGTTATATTCACAAGTACCAAGAGCAGTAGAAAATTTTAAATTATAAAAGTGACCAGCCATACTTGGCTGGTTACAAAAAAAGTGTGATTTCTGCCTTCCTATTACATACAAAAAGAACTATATATTCCATCATTATCATAGATAAATACTTTACATCTCTTAATAAAATAAATCATTATGTATACAAATAAAATATCTTTGTGATTTATGAGGTCATTCTTTGCTAAAGATTTGCCACTGAAGCTTGTTTCCAAGAGATGCTCCAGGAGCCTGAGGTTATACTTCCTGCTAAACACAGCACTCTACTTGTGTTTGAGTAAGAAGAAGAGAAGACTCCCATTTAAAGTAACTTGAAATACATGGGCTTTAATAGTGCCAGATGAAGAAAGAATCTTGCCTCCTATGCAGTTGGCTATAAAGAAATCATCTCAAATATAGATGATTTTTTTTTTCCTCAGACATAGGAATTAGAAAACAGATTTTTTCATTTAAATCTGAACAAGTCTCCACTGAAAATCATATAATTCTGTAGAACAGTTTCCAAAATATCGTTGTCTGTGAATATTGCATATAATTTTTAAGTGTAGGAACTTTTTTAACCAGATCATGTGTAACACGCTCATTACTACAGAACTGGAATTCCTTACAGGTCAAAAAAATAATGCATTATATTTAAAAGACAGCTGTGGAAATATGTAAACACTAAAACTGAAAGGGTTTCAAATATGCTGTACCAAAGGTGTCAAAACATGTTTCAAAGCCCTTAAATAATACAGGACCTTCAGTGATTCTCAGAAATGGTTTGGAAATCAGAACTTAGTGCCACGCTAAAGATTCATCTACACATTCTTTCTGCCCTTAACATCTTTGGGGAACCAGTTCCTCTGTATGAATGTTTAAATAATCATGGTAGTAATTAAGATTGAGCAGAGAAAGTGCTATGGTGAAACAAACCAGTGAGCCTGTACTCTATTAGTCTTTCTCAAAGAAAAATGCAAGAAATCCTGTAGTGTACAGTTAGCAAGCTGCATGCCAAAATGGGAGGGGGAAATGTAAGCCCAGTCAGCTAGTGAGGGACTTCGATGACATTAGGTATGAATGCCTTTTTTTCTGAAAAATTATTTTTACTCTATCTAATATTACTTTGAATGACCCCATTGTGCATAGAAATATCTTTTTCAAATCCTACTAGAACATGGGCTTCATTGATATTTTAGAAGCTATGAGTTCAGCTAGTTAATTTTATTTTCTTTAGCTTAATTTTTTCCCCTTGATATTTCTTCTGATGTTGAAATGGGAGATAAACAAGAATGCCCAATTTTTCCTCCTCTTTTTTTTCTGTCACGGTTTTCCACACCTCCATCATACTCATTCTTTCTCAGACTCCAAAAACTATCCTTTTCTCCACACAAGAGTATCAGTCTAGGATTTTAATATTTGACAGGGTAATCAGGGCACAAGTTGCTATTCCAGCTATTTGCACATAATTGGGGGTGTAATACTGATATTAGTATTATGAACAATGTTATTTTCTATTCTGTCTAATACAATTTTGGTTTGGTTTGTTTGGATTCCAGCTGTACACTTAGCCAAGTTTTCTCAAAACTCTCCAGAAAAGTGTTAGAATCTTTGTCCTGCATCAAGCTTAGGAATGTATGCCAGTAGTTCAGATTTTTTCCTTGAGAATGAGTAATTTTGTATTTGTCATTAATTAATTTAATTTACCATGATGCTCCAATTCAATTACTTGATTAGAACACTTGGGAGATCCTGACGCTCTTTTCTAAACTTATTCCTGTGCAATGAAACCTACAGCAGAGACAAAACACAGTACTTCTACTGGGAACCTGTAGCCTTGTGATGATCCTGTCAGTCTCTTATCTGCTGAATTCAGACAGCAAATGTCAGTATGATGACATACAGCTAAATTTAAAACCAAACAAACAGTAAATATCTAAAAAAACCACAGGAAGTTGTATCAACAGTTAGGGCACACTTAAGTTAAAACACTTAAATCTTTTACACCCTTGACACTGCAGAAGGAACACCACAATTACTCCTTTGTTAAGGAAGATAATGCTGTTCTTTTGTAAACAAAAAAAAGGCTACTGGATATCCAAAACATTTTGTAGAGAGTGACAGAAACAATTGCATTACATAAGACTTGACAACAAGAAGCCCAACGGAAAAACCCCAACATCTGAAGTATTTTAAGTCTGCTGAACTAGAATTTCCTTTGTGCGTACATTTTACAGAATCACCTACAGAAAGGCTGAGTTTGGAAGGGACCTCTGGAGTCCCACCCAGGGCTCAAGCAGGGACACCTACATCCAGTTTCCCAGGACCATGTCCAGACAGCTTCTGAGTATGTCCAATGATGGAGACTCCACAACCTCTCTGGGCAACCTGTGCAAGCGCTTGGCCACTCTCATAGTGAAAAAGTCTTTCCTGATGTTCAGATGCTTAAATAAGCATCCAAAATACATAATCCAAATATGATTCCATGAAAATATGGAAATAAAAAGCCAGCAGAGTAAAACTGAATTTCTAGGAAGAGGTAATACTTTTGCAGAACTATTATACATGTCATAATGTGTGACATAAAACTTGTTCAGGTTACTCTTCCCAGCATACAATGGGGAAGTGTAAATCAGCTAGAAACACAAAAGGACACCATCAGATGCTGCCTGTGATAAGCTCTTCAGCAAGCTGATTTTGCCAGGTTCATGCTTCTGGAATTCTCAAGGACTATTATTCAACCTTGTAGAAGATCTCTGAAGGCAGTTATATGAAATAATAGCAAATAGCACTGTATTTTTCTGTAATATAACGTATCATCTCTATGCTTATTGGTTTTTCTGAGGAAAAGCACAATCCCCTTAGCCCACAATTTCTCCCACTGCTAGTACCAGAACAGAGAATCAGGTCTTTAAAAAAAATACCGAAATTTTTCTCATTGACCCTGACTTTTAACTGTTTGCTTGGTTTGTATATTTTTCTTCAGGCCTTTAGTCCCTGAAGAATGCAAAAGAACGGCTCAGCCTGCACAGATACTGACATCTGAATGCTCAAGGCATTGTCGGAATGGGCACTGCACTCCCACAGGAAAATGCTGCTGTAATCAAGGCTGGGAAGGAGACTTCTGCAGAACTGGTTTGTATATAGATTCATAGAAACAAGGGGAAAAAGCTGTGACATGTCATAATTTGCTTTCAGTTATTTTTTTCAGAGAAGTTTTAAGTACAGAATGCAATTAATAGCATAAATATGACATGGAACAGTATTCTTATTTGTTCCACCAAGACTGTAAAATGAAAGGAAGTCAATAAATGTTCCTTGTTTGGACATTCAACTTCCACTTGCAGTATTATCACTGTCAGTGTCAAACAGGGGTACCTTGTCAGGAAAGACGGTAAAGAACTTGAAAAGTTTAGTTTTGGTACTTTTTTGATTTTGATCCTACAAAATGAAATGGCTCTAGTTTGTTAGAGAGAATTCTATGTACAACTTACCACAAAGGAGAACACTATTGTGATCCCTTATGACAGTGATTTCATTATGTCTTGTTGCTTCACTCAAAGAAACTGTGGTCAAAGTAGATGTTGGGTGCACCAGCAAAGGGGTGAGGTGAATGAACCTGGAGTGCCACAGCTGTGCTATCACTGTCCCACAGAGGCTGTGGTTATGTCTGTGCTGTACAATAACATAATGGCAGCAGAACTCAAAGGAGAGTCAGGAACTAAGACAAAGCAAGGATCCTACAATGGACCAGGGCTAACTCTGGTTGGAAGGGCACTCAGGAGGGCCCTGGTGAAGCAGGGTCAGCTATGAAGTCCTTAAAGCCTTCAGTGTAAATTTCAGCAACCTCCAGGATTTTAGTGATGAGCAGGAGTGACTTTGGAATGAAATGAAATGAAATTAATGAAATCACAAATGATGGATCTTAGGGCATGGTGAGCTGCCCATCATACAACCCTGCAACAAAAGCAGGTTGGAGAAATTGTCCAACCTTCAATTGTCCTCACTTGTCAGTCAGAGCTTTCCTACATTTAGAAAATGAGGCCCATTCTACAGCATTTCTTCAAGTGGAACTTAAAGTAAAAAATGCCCCCAACATGAGCATAAATGGGTCTTGAATAATCTGTTTTGTTTAAAAAAATACAGGTTTATGGTAGGTAATTTGATGGACACAATGAACAAGAAAGGTACAGAAAATACACAGACTGAGGATCTTTCTTTCCTGTATCCTACACAACATTTAACGGAGATGTTCTAAGTTAGGTCTCAAGTCACTATTATAATTTAAATAAGAAAAATTATCTTACGAGGTATCAGTTTTCTTCTAGTGTCATTAAGAAGCATGTGGATAAAATTAAGAAACCTGTATTTATATAGTGTATTATAAATATCTGTAAATCGATGTTACAGTTTATTGTAATAGATAATACTAAAAAGCATAATGCCTGCAAAAAAAAGAAAGAAAGATACATTGTATATTTCACAGTGCTACGACTCTACTCCAGAAGAAAATACCTCCACAACTGAAGTTATTATTAGTTTTGCTAACACAAGCTACAATTTAAAATAGCAGTTATATTTGAAAAGCTGAAACAAGCTGATTAACCTAGAACTCGATAGGTAAATCATCTGTTAAAGAGAGAGGGGAAAACTTTAAAACCTATATAACTGATAAAAACTGTTGAAAGAATAACTCTGGCTCTTTTTTCACTAAATGGAATTTAATCCTGGTCCCAGGCTTCAGTGATGCAAGAGCCAAGGGAGTGCATCTCTGCTCAGTTTTAGTCTGTTCTGCTAAGGAAAGAGTGTAGTGCAGAACTCTGTGTGGACAAAGGAGTTTACCCGAGATTCAGCACTTGCTGACTTGGAGATGGCCAGGTGCTAAAATGTCTCATCATCTTCAGGACTTCTCTGGGATGCCAGCATAAGAAATGGAATGAGGTAGACCACCACTGGTCTAGATCTAGGTGTGATGTGTATCTTGTTTTCAAATTATAAGATATGTGGAGCCTGAAGTCTTTTGAAATAGGTTCTCTATTCACTCCAATATCCCATCTGAATATGGGAATTGGACATTTAAAAAATATCTGTTATTTATCAGTCTTTCGTAGGTGATGTCCACTCAGACGTACAAAATTACTTTCTCCCCCTAATATTTTAGAACTTTTAAAAATATGCTTTCACAACTTCTAATATTTCATTTTTTCTATTTTGTTTTTAATTCATATGCTTGCTTCATCACTACAAGGCTAGAAAAGCTCGTAATGAATGTGTAACTGCATCTTTTCAGTTTGTGATGTTCTAAACAAACCAGAAAAATCACTGGTTTTTTTTTCCCCACAGCAAAATGTGACCCAGCCTGTCGACATGGAGGTGTCTGTGTAAGGCCTAATAAATGCTTATGTAAAAAAGGCTATCTCGGCCCCCAGTGTGAACAAGTGGATAGAAGCATCCGAAGAGTGACAAGGGCAGGTATTCTTGATCAGATCCTAGACATGACATCCTATTTGCTGGATCTAACCAGCTATATTGTATAGTTCCTGGGACTGTTTGGAAACTACACTCTCAACGGGCATTTGTTTTGAATCCTGTCATTTTTAAAAGACTCTTTATCCTGCAGCAAATACCGGTGATTTGAGTTACTTTATTAATTTAAGTATAATATCCACAAATGTGCAGAAAAATTCCTCGTATGTGTGTAAATATTCCTGTACGTCTCCACAGACGTCCCGATATCCAATATGTGCACACATACCCATGCACACGCGCTATCACAAATACGGTTTTGCAGAGAGTGGAATCTTTTTTAATATTTATTTCTTCATGAGAAATAGTTTACAAAGTAATTCCACTGTAAAACACATTTTCGTCACAGGACTTCCATGATGTCTTAATGGATTCTTTGATATCCCAGCAATCTCGTGTCTGTTCTTATCTGATTAGAGCGGTGAGGAAGCAGTTTTCAAACATCGCTGTATAAACTGCTGGACTTAATAAAATCCAGTTGTAACAGTTTCTAAGGTGAACTGAACTACATCATGAGACAATATTTCAGAACTGCTTAATGCATTCCTATCTAGGCAATTCATTGTAAGACTGTAACCTTCACTTTCATCAATGTAACTCTATTACAGAATGTTACGCATTTCTTTATCTAGCATAGATGCAAAAATCTGGTTATCGCAGCTTAATATCAAGATTGTTTCAAGTGTTTAATAATTAAATTATATTCGCATATTTCAAAACCAGTCATCCTAGAAGGTCTGCTTTTTATCATATATTTTATTTAACGGTGGGCACTGGGTTCATGTTACATATTTATATTATTTTATTTTATTTTTATAATATAGACATCACCTAGATGAGACAGCTTTACCATGTCCTGTAAAATACTAAAGTTGCATTTTTCACCAACTTAATTGGAAAGATGGGGAAAGAGAGAGCAGACACACACACTTTAATGTGCTGTGGATCTAATCTAGAAATGTATCCTTGTGTCAACTTGTGTTCATTTATGACGGATGAGAAAAAAAACAACCGCCAACCAATCACAATAAAATTTCAGCATGTGTTAAAAGTGTCCATAAAGTGGTTTTCACTGTAACAGGACAGTGTAAGAGGTTATGCAAGCAGGCTGCTGCCAGTGTCACACTGAACAGAACGTCCCTGGACGGGAGCTCACACGAGCACGTGTTGCCCGTGCACGGTGTCACTTGTACAAATCCGTATAGTGATTCTTGCCAAATGTGGTTCTAAATGTAAATGTTCCTTCAAGAGCTAACACAAAACCGAGTCTTTGTAAATGTATCAATAAATATGGTGTACATGCTATAGTCAGGTTTTCTAAGGTATTAAGAGTCTAATTACATGTATATGCAGAACTGGTGCCCTCTTATCTCCAGCTCTAGAGTATTATTGGCGGTTTCTTTGCTCACTACTTACCATTTATCAGGTTTCCTTTGCACTATCTGGCTTTTATAAAATCTTGCCTGAGAAAAGAAAACGAAGTAGCCACAGTGTGCACATCCTGTGGTCCTTATAAGCAGCTGCTCATGCATCAACAATTGACAACACTTTAGTCAATGAGATCTAAAAGACTGTAGCCATATTACTCTCCAGTAGCAAAATTACCTCTCCAGGGCAGCAACATGCAACAAATTTTCCTTTATAGAAATTTTTCAGTCTTTATTTAGTAGGTATTAAATCTGAAATTACAGAGCGACTGATACTTGCATTTCTGTGTCTTACACATTCCAGCTCCGAGGAACAGAAAATTACATTTGCCTTCCATATATGTTTGCCTGGGTTTCAAGTGACCTCATGCCACATGGAAATTGGTTGAGAAATCTTGGTTAAGTGCTCAGAGAACAATGGTCTGCATTAAAAAGTGCATGCATAATTTTGCACAATGTAGATTCAACTGACAGTCCATTGAAAGACATCTTGGGATTAAATGAGCATGAAGACCAAATTGCCCTCTCACCCCAGAAAAGGGTGGTCCCTTATAGTCACACGAACACTTCATTGGCTAAGCAGTGTGACCAATCTTAAAATGAACCCTGTGGTAGCATCTGTAGGTTAATAGCAGCTCTTTGTCTCCGCTGCTTTCTGCCTTTAGTCTTTTCCCTGAATTCCATCACAAAAAGTTTTACAATTAAAAAATGTCCTGACAACCATTTTTGTAAATTGACCTTAGCATCTAATCTTTCCTTATTCAACGTGGGTGACAAAAATGTGAACTTCTCCTGAATGAGCCAGCTGTCTAAATCTGTCACATAGCGCGGTTTTATTACACTCTTCATAATCAGCAAAGCAAGAAAGTCGCTGAAGTATTTTAGCAACGTTTAAATATCTGACAGAGATAACATCTTTAACACTTTCTTCAATGAAATATATTTAAAAATAAACCCAACTTTAATTCCACTGTGACACATTATTTTCAACAACCAGCTGGGGAGATGTGATAGTTCTTTTCTCACTGCTTAGTTCCTTAAAAAAATACCACAGATGGCACCTAAATTGAAGACTCACAATAATATATATGCCACAGTCATGCAGAGAAGGGATAACAATGATCTTAGAGTTTTGATGTTAATAATAGAGACAATTTAGTTTACTAGTGAAATCAGAAAATAAAACTCCAGTAAGAGCTAAGAATTAAATCCAGGCCTTATTCAAATCAATGGCAAAAACTTATATCAGCTCTGCTGCACCCAGAAATCACTTTCAAAATTTAAGCAAAATACGTCAGCTTATTTTATTTAAAAAACGTTTTCTGTTTGAGTCATTCCACCAAAACTTGAAAACTAAGAAGTAATCTAAATGAAGATTAGAGGGAAAGGGAAGATAGTTTGTGAAAGTGTTTTGTTTCATTTTTAAATCATCTTTTATATCATGGGAAAGCAAACATCTGCATTAAGCCCACATGGACATAGGAAGTCCCACTGCAAAAGAAGTATTCTCAAAAAAAAAAAAAAGACACAAAAAATCCTAGCTGCTTATTTATCAAAAGAAATTATACTACTAAAAAGAGTGAGCAAACCCCAGGCCTAGCCACCCAAGATGCTGATATAAAAAGGGCAACTGCAGTAATTGCCCTGAGAATTGGCATACAAAAAAAAAAAAAAAAAGGGGTCTGTAGAAAGCCTGTTGCCAGTTAGGTCATTCTGCAGCCATTCTCACACAACCTCCGAGAGTGTCCCAGAATAAAACTGAGCTTATAAATGAAACTAGATAAATGAGGCAATTAGATAAGGGCCTCCAGAAGGGATTTTATGTATGTGCTCAAGTTGTCTCTGTCTCTGTGTCTCTCTCTCTCTCCTAATCTTTTATTCCATTCATTTCTTCCTTTATTCGGAGATACTGCCTCTCTGTTCCCAACACATTGTACATTTCAAGCATTCTTTGAGGCTTTCCACTGTTAACAGGGAACAAACATACCTGTTGCAAGAAACATAACTCTTTTTCTGGTGTCTGCTAGTTTTAAACCTCTGTTTTATTATTTTGGAACAGAAAACTTTCATTTTTCTCTTTTTAAATGCCACTGATCAGAAAGAAGGCATATTATCGGAATATAAGGAGACAGAAAGATGTTATGTAAAATCAGCTCCAAATTGTTTCACTCCATTTCAGAAAAACAGTAAACTCATTTTTCTAATGCATCCAATAAGAAGTATTAACTCAAACCCTCTCCCTGGGAATAAATTCTTCCTGTTAACAGTCAGGGACACAGATGCAAACCCTTTATACCTTTAAATCTTCACAGGTTATTATATGTCATGCAAACAAAGTGTATGTGAGTTATAAATAAGAGGACAAATTCTGTATCACCACCACGACACCTCTGTTTATCTCCTTCTTTCATTCACTTCTCCACATTTGGCTTTGCAGCTCCTTCCTTTCTAGAACCACAGCAAACATCAATAATCCCTGGTTGCTGCAGGTGATGCTTATTATTTTTGAAACTGCCTGACAGACACGTGCAACAAAAAGGCTTCCCAGCAGACTGAGGCTTTTATCTTTTGATCATTCCACAGAACTTTGTTATTTTATAGTGACTTCTAATACTGTGTCTTAGCTGGATATTTACAGTTCAGGAGTACCAGTCTCACACAGCTCAGGCTCAGGCTGAGAAGTCCAGGCACAGATAGACTGAAGCTGGAGGAAGGGAGAAATCACTTTGTCACTTTACAGTCACTGTGCTTGTCAGAAAGTCACCAATTTCAATTCAATGATCAGATGCCTTAACTGAAAAGCATAATGATACTCCTGGGATTCTGAAATATTGCTTTTCAGTATACACTTCCTATAATTTGGGATCAGAAATTAGGACCTTTTCATGTAAAATTATGCAAAATTGAGATTCTGAAAATATGAACAAGTAATTTCACAGGTGTAAAGTCCCACTGTGATAAAAATGTAATGTAATTCTACTTGTATCCATGAAATAGGCATTTATAAGATTAGGTGTACATGGAAAATACAAGTTAGAGGACATCCTGTTCTGCTTATTTTTCCTTAATTAAGTAAATTCTTTAAAAGACATTAATGTGTTTTAATTTATTATCTTTTAATTTATCAGTGTATCAGTTTAGTTAGGAATTATACCATTTTGATCTTCTTTCCAACTTAAAACGTGATCCTTGTCTCAGGAAAAAAAACCAAAAGGAAGCCAGGAAGTGAATGAAAACTCACTGATATTTTGCAATTATAAAAAAAAAAATAATGTTCTCACTGAAAAGGCAACCAACACTTTAAATTTATTCCGATTCAAATTTGAAGAAAATTTATACCAATTAATCTAGGTTCTGGTTAAAAAAACCTGATAAATATTTCTGTAAATAGCTTCAGGACAAAATGTTTTAGAAACATTGAGAAAATACTGTTTTGCTGAAAAGTTTGTTGTTTTCAACAACAGAGTAATTCAGTGAAATAAGACACGTACTTTTTGGGCTAAAGGTGTGAAACAGCAGAAGCCACCTGAAAGCTTAGTACAGGATTACTTTAATCTTTGAGGGCCTGACTCCAAGTCCATTGATGTCAACTGAAAATCTCCTATTGACTTCATTAGTTACAGGATTAAGTCTTTAAAAGATATCCACTTAGCTGGCAGAAGATCTTAACTTCAGACATCAGTGCACACATGACCTCTCTGTATCTGCATCTCCAGTCATTAGACCCATGTTTTCCAGAGTAAGCCTGCAGATTCAGCCCTGCACAAAGCCATACGAAGCATATCCAATCCTCTCGGGTTTCCTTATAGGTATTGCCAACATTTACACAAAATCTGCCAGGCTTCTTGATACTTCTTGAAAAATGTTGAACAATTTGCTCACGTGTGTTCTCTTTCACACGTGTACGCTTGTTTCAAACAGCACATGCCAGTAAGCAGGAAAGTAATTGAAATATCAAGTAATTGTCCCCATTTTATGAAATGGCCATAGTAAGATGGGGCCCAAGGCAGCCCCCACAGATGCTCATGAAGATCCATGCAACAGTTCCCTCGGCTGTTTTGAGTCCAGTATTACAAAGGATGATTTTGGCAGTATTAGGTGCGTTTTCAGACCTTTTTTTTCCTGTATATGTAGCAGGGATGGTGTAACATTTCAATCAAGACTATATCCTAATCCAAAAATGTTGTTGTCACCCTTACTAGTAAGACTAGGGAGACTGAAAATGGTGAGAGTCCTCAGTACTGACCTGCCAGGCCTAAGCAATAACAGGGTGGGACACGAGCAGACACTCCTCAGACGTGTCCTACACGTGGGTTTGCTGCTTGCCTTTGTTCTCATTGATTTCAGTTACAACTCTGCACACAGAATTTATTGTGCTCTAAAATGTTTTCGACATCCAAAAAATCTTAGCACAGCGATTAATTCTGCGTGGATTTACACTGGGTAGACTGACTAATCAGACAGTATTTCTAATGCCATTGCTGGGAAAAGAGAAATGTTACTGTTTTATAGCACAAGTGGGTCATCTGACACATCCACCTTTTTCCTTCAGTTCACTCCTGAGTTATTAGTAATTGCTATTTGGTTTATATATTAGCAAAGGATTATCCTGTTGTTCCATAACCCAAAGAAAACTCCCATAGGCTTCTGTAGGAAATTTTTCTTCGCTTTACACTGTACAGATTGGTTCGAAAGCCAAGCGACACACCTGCTTCCAGAGCTCTCAGTACTGAAAAGATATCATCTGGCAATCATTTCATGCCACAGAAATTCACAAACACTTAATATTTTGTGTTATATGCATATAATGTGTGTCTTTGCCTATTGTCTACACAGACAGGCTTCCACAACCAAAAATGCCAGAAATTATTGCACAGACAGCAAGCTGCATTATTGGAGAAGAGTTCTACTGATAAAAAACAACTTTCCATCTGCTACAAGTTATCAATAGGGTCCAATGTATCATATAGTAAAGTTCCTCTTATGGTCTATGAGATTTTACTATTTATTTTCATTTTGCAATGAAAAGAGAAGTAAAAAAGTAAAAAATATTTTACATGAAAAATTGCTTTAATTCCAAGGAAATTTCAGAAAGGAGGCACCAGCAAAAGATTGTGAATATACACAGTGGCTGTGTTCACAATATTCTTGGAAAGAAGGTAGAGAGAGGTGGCTGTTTTGGAGATTTTTTTTTTCTGTAGGATACATTTTACTGTAGGACAAAAGGGTGTTTTGCATCACAAGGCAGTAACAATCAATCCCGTTATCTGAATGTTCCTAGGAGGAGCTGCTAAAAAGAAAATGTTCTAGGCAGTAAAAACTAGTGTGAAGAATTAATTCATATCAAGATATACCAAGACCAGAAACCATCTGGTATTAAGCCACCAGATGTATCTTGTAGTGATCTCCATTAGCACCAGAAGCAGTAACCCTACCCTGTGAATTACCCAGAAATACTATTAGCTGTCCCCCACAAAATATACTGCAGAATTAAAATTTCAAGTCCCAATTGAGAACAATTAGACTGTAATGGGAGCCAAGCAGAAAAGGAATTAACAAACTTCAGTCACTTGAGAACATTACTGTTGTGACATTCCCCTGTTCAATTAGTTTTATTTTATAGTAGCTGTCAGGTACTGTATGTACATTTGAAATGTGGGGAAATAGCTTAGAAATATCATCCAAACTAGGTTTAAGTATCTTCTATAAACCGTATTATACTACTAAGCATATACAGGCACCAATCTAGCAGAGCACCGGGAGCACACAAGTAATTTTAAGCATATGAGTCTCACTGAAGTCATGTGCTTAACATTATTAATATAATTATTAAGTGCTTTCTTGGTTTGAGACCTTACAAGTCTTTGCAAGTCTACCTACATAGACTACATAAGCTATATGTGCATTTCTTCTTAGGGAGACAGCATGACTGAAGTTCACAACAAGAAAATTCAGTTACTGTCTGTCACAAATTCTATATATCCTGAAATAATTGCATCTTTGTGCCTCCACTTTCCATCTGAAAATTAGTCAAATCAATCCTTGTAAAGCGCTTTGAGCTCTTCAAATGAAAAGTGCTATAAAAACTACAAATTATTATTATATTATTGAACACCATGTATGTATACACACTATTATGTAATATATAATATATGTATAATGCATATAAATTCTAACAAATGTATTTGTGTAATATCTGAGAAATGGAACAGTTGTATCTGGAAGTGATAAATACATAGAGTTGGATTTATTGTTAATCTGTGGATTTAATGATTTTTTTAGACAAAAGGATGTTTAAGTGTATAATTGCTTTTCTTAATTTAATATATTTATGTAAATGCATGCCTGAAGTTCTGGATAGATAGTTATTCTGTGTCCTTTAAGCTAATAAAATATATTAAACTTTATCTTGCTATATAAGGTACACCTGCTGCTTTAAATTTTTTTGTTTTAATATTTTTTTATGACTAAATGCATAATTTAAAGTTCATGAAATTTTAATTTTAATCGGCTCTTTGATCCCTGCAGTAAAAGCAAAACGCCAGCATTTTATATATTCTTTGAAATGTACACTAGTCTTGTTTATATAAATTCTAAGATGCTTTCATGAAATGTGACTGAACACCGCTATTATTTTTGGAATGGGAAGTTTGGAGTGGGGTTTCCTGGATAGAAAATTAAGACATCCATATTGAAAAGGTACCTGTGTCATTGCAAGCAATACCTGAGTGGACATGCAGCTGGAAGAAGGGGATTTCACGTACAGGTATCTTGGAG